CTGCCTAGGACCTTCTCTATGGAATATGTGGCAGAGGGTATGAACCTCTATAATTAGCGGCTTTATGCCTTTCCAACAGGATCTGGCTACAGAATGCCTGGGTGCTGTCTCAACAGCAACCATTCCTGTGTACAAGGACCCTGCCAAATATTTCTTCTGCTTTTACCAAGCTCTCTTCAAGCACGGATTTCAGAACACACTATAATTAGTACAATCACCCACATCCTGTCTAGATGAGCAGCGTTTTATATGTACAAATTCCCCTTTGCCCCCTGGCCCTTCAAGAGAATGCAAATGTTTCCAACTTTAAAGAGTGAAGAATAGAGTAATTGAAAGGAGCTGTATCTTGGCCAACACCAAAGACCTCAAAGGCATTTATAGTTGACCTATATGAGAAAACATGGTGACGACAAAGTGTGCCATAATGGCTTATCAATCACTCTGTGCTAATAACTGGTTAAAAGATAGGTAAGATAGGACAAGAATGAAGCATGCAGTTTTTACAAATCACATAATCTCAGAACCAAAATTCTGATCTGTTTTTGTTAAGTTTTCAAATGTTCTAGAAGTAGTGAGTGGTGGCACTAGCTTATGATCCAGTTACTTGAGTTAATCAAGGAAGAGAAGACAGACGGGGCCAATTAAGTAGCCAGGCTGTCCAATGACAGATGAGTCATTATAGGTAAGTGCAAAGAGAATGCCACTGGGAAAAGCAATTTAAATCATTTGTGCACTTCCAGACCAGGAAATCCTCCTAGTCTTTGAGGGGAACATTTAGGAATCATCAGGCCCAGCCTGATGAAGTCATCTGTTCATCGTGTAGCTAACAATCAACAAAAGAGCAGAGCACACAAGGGGACAGGACATATGGAATACATTTGGGTGGCTAGGATGTGTATACATGCCTTCTTTTCAATCACCTTTATAACACATCACCACTTCCCTCTTCTAGTCCCTTGACCCTTCTTCCCACTCTATGCTCTTATCTCCCTAAACGTGGAGTTTCAAAGTACAGGTAATTTTTCAGGCGCATATCATCCTTCATAATTTCTACTTTTATACTTCAAATAGGCTATTCCATGTACACATGCAAGTTTCCAAGAGACATTATTATAAAACAATTCCTTTTTAAGTGACTTAAGAGGCTGTGTCTACACAGAATTTATACAGTTAGCCCTGAATGTTTTCAGATCCCATACAATTGAGAAATCTAGAATTGGAGAGCAGAGCAATTATTTTTTTTATTATTGTTCCTTTTGGTTTTTGAAGGATGAGTGAGTGTAAGGGAAAAGATGTATACATGAAAGTAACTCCCCATTTCCTTCAATCAAATGGCCTTCCAAGAATCCCAGAGTAAAGGTTGGTATTAGTGATTGCCATGCTGAAAAATCCCAGAAATATTACAATATTTTTGCATCCCCTGCATGTGTTCTCTGTCTCTGTTTCTGTCTGTGTCTGTGTCTCTGTCTCTGTCTCTCTTTCCCCTCCTACCCCTCTTAGGTTACCCTCATCACAAGTGTTGGATTCTTCAATCCCTGTACATGTATCCCTCCTGCTTTAGACAATCTTTCCTTGCTCTGGTTGACACTCGGTAAAAACTCACTTAGTCCCCTACCACTCCACTATGCTTTCCATCATTGCCCATTGCATTGCTTTCTCTAAGTGACTGCTCTTTTCTGCTGGTTTTCTACCTAATAACTTACTCACACTTTAGATCCTGGCCTGATTATCATTGGAGTCAGGCTACCTTATACTTGCTCTAGTCTCCCTAGTGTGAACTGTCATAACACCATATAACCTTTCCTTTGTCGTATTCATTAGAGTTGTGGGTGCATCTATATCCATAACACACACACACACACACACGTATGTATGTATATATATACATAGAAATGTGTATATATATACATATATATAATGGTTGCTTAATTTCACACCTACCTTCCCACTGACTATAACCTGTTTTTGTTTCTGCATCTTCTACTCTCATTGCTAACAATGAACTTTGTCTAGTCTTTACAGATTGCCCTCACTTCTCTTAAGCAATGGTTTACTCTATCTCATGGACTCTGCTAACAATGTTTTCTCCCCTTCTAAGTTTTTCATCAACTGTTAGTTTTAAGTTTTTCATATCTGAACTCTAATACAAGGAGATCTGATTGGCTTAATTAGTATTTATCATCTGCTTGTAAAAGTTTCTGTAACAGACTACATCATGATTCACTTAACAATAACAAAATGAACTTCCTTAGGTCAAAGACACTATCTGTGGCCAGGATTGGGGAACTAAAATGTCAACAAGTGTTTTCTGTATCATAATCTGCTTACTAGGAACTACAAAATTTGAGAAAGGATCTTCCTTGAGAACTGAAGTTAGATTTGGAGCAATCACAAAAAAAAGGCATGGAGCTAGACGGTGGCAGTGCCCACCTTTAGTCCCAGCACTCAGAAAGCAGAGTCAGCCAGATCTCTGTGAGTCGAGGCCAGCGTGGTCCTCCGAGTGAGTTCCATGGCAGCCAGACCTGTTATACAAATAAAACACTGTCTCAAAAAAATCATGGACAACTGACACATTTAATATATATCCCACTTACTGGTTCTACTAAAACAAAAACAAAAAACTTCATTCCTCTGCATGTACAACTGGCACAATTAGGCAATGAATACTAAGTTCCTTTAGAACTAAAAAGCAAGGAAAATTTGTGAAAGATCTGAGATATTTGGAAAATGACTGATCCTACCAGAAAACTAGATAAACAAAGGATTCCAGGAGGACAGGCTGCTGGTTCACTTTACTCTTGTGTACCTATATTCAAGCCCCACAGCCAAAGTAAAGGGGCTCCACATGGTCTTCCTTTTATCAGGATTTGGACTCTGATCCTTAACATCTGTCCAACCCCTTACAGCATGGGGCCTTCAATCTTTCCATTTTCTATACTACAAAAATGGACATAATTATAGTCAATTATAATTGTAGAGATTAGAATTTTTATTAAAGATTAGAAAATATAGCTACCACCTATTCATTATCTAGAAGAACACTATAGAATAGAAATTAACAGACCAAATTCTAAACCCTAATTTCCTGAGCTAAATTCTAGCTATATAAATTTAAGTAAGTACTAGCTTCCCCTCATGCATTACATACGATTACAGTTCCTACCTTCATATGGTCATCATAAAGTAGTAAGAAATAAGTTACTAAATGGTACCTGTTTATAACAGCGATGGCACAGTTATATATATGTGTGTGTGTGTGTATGTGTGTATGTGTATGTATTATAATCATTGCTGCTGATGCTGTCTTTTTAATATTTATTTAATTCTCTCACTGTGTGTCTCTGTACCTCTCTCTGTGTGTGTGTGTGTGTGTTTGTGTGGTTGTGTGTATGTGTGTGTGTGTTCAAGCATAAGTAGATAGGATTGAGCTAAGTTCTTCAGACTTGTGCCTGAGCAATTTCACCCACACTCTGTTATTTATTGAGACTGTTATATCCTTTAATCCACCTGAACAAAGTACAGGCCATCTGTCATTCAGGAAACATTTGCTCATAGCTGGCAGAAGAGATCATTTATTGGTTCACACAACAGAAAGTGTAAATGATGTCCCAGCATAACCATGGCTAGATGTAAGGATTTCACTTATCCTCACTATGTTGTGCCTTGGATTTTATCCGTCAATAACATTCTTGGCAGATTTCTGCAGTGTGTTAACAAAGATCTAACTTCCCATTCTTCACTGCTTCAGTGGATTCGAGTCTTCAGTGGATTCGAGTCTAAGACAGATGTTCCAAAATTCTATTCCATCATTGAACTAGCAATCAGAGGGATAGGCTATTCCTGTTGGCCTAGCTGCTGCAGTAAAGGTGAAATGTACCATGTTCACTCAAACATCATTATCTACAGGAGGAAAAATGCTAAACAAAGGATGCCCCACAATTCAACTATTTTTCAAGGACCGAGATGACCACAACTAACATATTTCCTGAAGTTTTCGCTTTTGTTCTCTGGAGAGTGACAAACACCCACAAGTAATATTCAAACTGTTGGTTAACTACTAGAGCACAACCTCAGTCAAATTTAAATGAGCACCTGGCCAATTAGAATGGAAGTCAGCTAGAGACAGCCACAACTACAGTGGTACATTCTGGCTGAATAGCAACCCTCTGCCAAATGCTAACACTGAGGTAACATTTAGGACATGTAGAATTTTGAATCCTATTTATTCTCATTGAGCAAACACCTGCTAACACTGGATTACTTGTTCACCTATACCCACTAAAAGGAAGGACTGATGTAAGCAGATTTATTCATATCCTTTTCTTCTCTTTAGTTCTTTTTGTCATCTTATGAATGTGACTACAAGACTAAAGCATATGCTTTGGACAGAGGATGATCTTTGAACTGAACTAAAGCGTCAGTATCTTTGACATGGACACACATGTTTTGCCAGGCCTGCTTTAATCAAATGTTGCCTTTCCTTTCTGCCTGAGAAAAGCAAAAGTTGCATTTTCCTTCCTCTCTCTCTACTGCTACCAAATGAAACTGCCCTGGCCTCAGCTGGCCCCATCCTTGTTCCATGGCATGCTACATCTTTAAACTGAGGTTATGTCAATTGCCTTTTGATTAGAGACTTAGTCTAAGAATTTAATGGGATGGTTCAATTTGGATAAAGAATGTTACCAACTGAGTGTGTGTGTGTGTGTACCTTTTTTATTACACTCAGTTCTCCTGAGTTAGTGACTTAAACACTTGGCACGCAATATATATACAAGCGGTAGCTGCTCCCACTGGTTCTGCAACTTGCTTGCATCATTAAGCATGGCCTTTTCCCATTTTGTCTCCCAGACACAACATAGTACTTGTGTCTGACCATCCTATTCCCAACCATTCCTAGCTGCTATGCAAGCCTTCAGAAAGAAATGTTTACCAGATCGACCTGACCTTTACTTCCCTCTTCCTTGTGGTGATTGAAGGGTGCCATGCCTGTCCTTTTCCAGGTCGACAGAGAGTACAGCAACTTACAAAAAACATAAAATACTTCCGACAGCGACTGAAAGAAATGGGCTTCATCATCTATGGTGATGACTACTCTCCCATTATCCCTGTGCTCCTGTACATGCCTGCTAAAGTATCGTGAGTATCCAACAACCCTCAGAATCATGCAAATGATCCATGTGTCATGACCGAGGTAGTATATTTGACACCATGGGATTTTTCTGTGCATGAATTAGATTATGTACTTTGAGGGATACTTGAGTTATGACCTCAGATACACAGCTTCTCAGTAGTGTGACCATTCTGCCATTGCAAGTTATTACTACTCTCTTATGATGTACTAATTAGCAGCAGCCACAGTAGTAGTAGTGGTGGTGGTGGTGGTGGTGGTAGTAGTAATAGTAGTAGCAGTAGTAGTAGTTTCAACTGAACACAAAATTAAGTTGCCATGGTTTCATGGCTCCCCAAAATAATCATCATACTTAATTAAAGCAGAACTCCTTTAAAAAGTACTAAAAACCTGCTACCTTGCAGTAATTATACAATATTGAGCCCTAGATCCTGGTTCCCTGCATCTTAAGATTGTTCTTCAGAAGAAGCTTACATTGCAGAAGTTGGTTATATTCTAAATAAGGCATTTTGAGCTTTTTGAACACTGAGGTGTCTGCCCCCAGTTTATAAATGGGGTTATGAGACTAACAAAGGTCAGATTACCTTTTTAGATTTGCCCAGGTTGTAATCATAGGCTAAGATTTCAAGACTATTTTCCTCTGCCCATGGACTGAAGCCCTGAAACCTGCAGCCCAGTCTTCCAAGTTTTAGCCTACATCTCATTAAAGTTACATGAAGTGTGGGTTTTGAATTGTTTTTGACAATTCAAAAAATATCAGCCACTATGACCTAAAAAATGCCTATTGAGGTTGTCTAAGGAAACCCAGAGCAGATGACATAAAAAGATAATAGCTTCTATTTGTGGTGACAGTCATCTACAGGATTTGCCTGCCTACCTTGTTTCAGTCTATGATGTTTCATACATTGAAATGTCATGTATGTATAAGCTTCTGAAATAGTGAATTTTATCAACCAGTGTGAAAGCACTTGTTTTCATTTTCGCATTTAAAACCTTTGATGTTATGGACTGAGGGGACATAGCACAGTTGGTAAAATGCCTTCCAGATCCCCAGCACCCATGTTAAAGCACAAGGTACACCAGTCAGCCTAGCCAAACCAATGAGCTCCAGATCCAGTGAGAGACTCCTTCAATATAATAATTACAAAGAAGAGGTAATGAAGTTGAAAGGGAGTGGGCAGGATTTGGGAGAAGTTGGAGGAGAGAGTGTACAGTAGAAATAATGTAAATACTGCACTTACTGTGAAATTGTCAAAAATTGTAATAAAATAAGAGAAAGACAATCGACATCCACCTCTGCCTACACATGCATCATATTTATATGTATATATATGCACACACAATAAAATTTAGATCTTTAATATCCTTAAAATTGAAATTTCTGCCTATCTATACCTATACTAGATTTAAAGAAACTCAAGCTAAGTATAGGTTTGAATATAATACAACAGTACAATCATCTGTGGTGTTCAGTACAATGTAATTTCAGTCATAAAATGTGCAAATAAGGCTGGAAAGATAGCTCAGCAGGTAAAGGTACTTGCTGCCAAGCCTCACAACCTGAGCTTGAGTCCTGGAATCCACATGGTGGAAGAAGAAAATTAACTCTAAAATGATGGCCTCTGACCTCCATACATGTGCCATGGCACACATGTCAGGTCACATACACATAAAAAATAAATACATAGGTGCAAAAATTAAAGGGTACCTATAAAGAATATGTTACATTATCCTGTGGTACAAGGTTTACATTGTCCTTGTCATGCACTTGGGGATTTTTGTACAAAAGATGTCATAGTGCTATATCCAGTGGAGTGCTAACACATATAATTATTATCATTGCTTCATATACTTAGTTCTAGCCTGGGGAAGCTCTCTAATATGCTTTGGGGGTTACATACCCAGAGGCTCATTATATAAAATACAATCATTTATATTCACTGCAGTAGTCTAAGTTTAAATTTGGAAATATTCCAGGGAGGCCCCAGATTATCCTAATGAACCAAGAGTCATATATTTTGTTCAACATTCTTTGGCAAAACTCACTTCCTTTGGTACAAAGGGAAACATACAAACAGTGAAATGGTCTTCTGGGAACCCTGAAAACTGGCCTGAGATCATGTGTCAGGTGGTTAGTTGTCTAGCAATAAAAGCTAGACTTGTTTCTCAGACAATTCTGTGCTCTCATCCTGTGCTGTGCCGTGGGCAGCCTTCCATAGGGTGATCAAGAAGGCAGAAAGGACAGCCCCTGTTTTCAAACTTTCTCAGCTAGAAACTTTTGCCGCCTTGTAACCTTCTCAGTAGAAATCAAAGGGGTAATCTTGCCTTGTCCTAGCCAGGGGGCCAGCAGGGTAGTGTGTTCAGTAGGGTTTGCAGTCTCCACTGCTTTGTTTAATAGCACACAATCTTCACCAGGCAACTGAAAGGCAGACAGCTGAAGAGTAAGATAGATGAATGGGTGAACAGTCTGGTTCAGTCATTTTTTCCCCAGAATTATGAAAACAAGGTTTCTATGTTGTTGTCATCTTTCAGATATCCCAGTAAGTTCTTAATGCTAAGAACAGACCTGAGGCCTTGACTTCCATGTGGGTCGATTCAATCAGCAATTAGTATTTCATGAAGAGAGCAACAGAGCCCAAAAAGAAAAAGAACTTATGTGGGGGCATTTGCCTTTTTAATCTGACTTTGGTTCTTAAAACGTGTGACTGATAGGCTTCGAGTTTAATATTCTGGGATCATTACTAATATTAACTTTGGAATAAGCAAAAAGCAGAAGGATGAAGGGAAGGAGGAACTTACAAAGGTTTGCCTGCTTCAAAGAGCTTTGTAGTCAGTCCTCTGATTGACATCGTGTAGGCTGCAGCTGCCCATGAGGTTCTCTTACCTCTTTCTTGCCTCTTATCTGGTTCTTCTCAAGGCCAGACAGGAGGTTGCTCCTCTTGTGTACACCTGTGTGTATTCACTCATAAATGATTTTTAAAAAAAACAATGCCATTACTTATTTCTCATTTGATGTAACATATAACCTTCACTCATGGGGACTGGATTCCACAAACCCTCAAATCCTGCTCTTCAAATTATAGTGACTAAGTATCCCTTCTTGAAATGTCCAACGCTAATGCTGCAGTTCATTTTTTAAATATATATGTTTACATTTAATAAATATTATTTTCATGTCATTGTATCGTACCAGCTGTTTGGTTCTAGTCCTGGACTAGAAACCAAATTGAGGAGTTCCTATCAGTGCAGACTTGCTTGATCAGCATCACAGACATCAGCATTTTCTGCAAATATCCAAGGCTCCTACTATCAAACCAATGTGTTAGGTTCCATAAAAGTACACACTCAGCTATGAATGATGCACATAATTTTCTAGTTCTTGGTCTGTTGTGTGAAAGAAATTTCATCAGGCTTTCCTTAATATTATTTTAAAAAGAACAAGTCAACTAACCATAATTGTCTTTTCAGCATCACTAGCTTCTCTATGTTAACTTTTTTTCTTTCCCTAAGTGCTTTTGGAAGGTATTTGCTTAAGAAAAAAATCGCGGTGGTGGTTGTTGGATTTCCAGCCACTTCGCTGGCAGAAGGTCGGGCTCGGTTCTGCATTTCATCAGCACATACTCGGGAGATGTTAGATGAAGTGAGTATCCATCTACCAGCAGAATCACTGCTTCTGATACTCTGGATTCTGAGCAAGTACTTTTATTGAGCCATCTTGGGGTTTTCTAGGGTGGCTCAGGAAAAGAAAACGAATGTCAAATGAAACTCACTGCTGCAATTTTAAAACAAAAAACTACTATGGTATGTCAACAATATCCAATAGCACGCCCAAATCATTAGATAGAAAAGAAAATTCATTACTGAAAATTTGATTAAAGTCAGACTTTTGGTTTCAAAAAAAGACTGAATAGCCAAATGTTCTACTTGTCAGCTCTGAAAAGTAAAAGCTGATCCTATGCATACCTTAAGCATTACTGTCTGATATCTTTGCAAGTATAAAAGCTTCTGTAATAAAATATGAGCTAATTTAAACAGTATAGGAAAAATAACAAAGACTCTGTATAATAACACTCACATTTGAGTCAGGAAGAAGTAATTTCAAATCTATATTTTGTTGTCATTTTCATTTTAAGTTTTATGCTCATAATATCAAAAAACTAAGCTATCTTTGTCAGTCTGAAGTTAACTTTCCCACTATATCAATGAATTTTTATAAACAGTCTTGTATATTTATCGTATACAAAACCTGGAACAAAAGGTTAGATAATATTGAAAAACTAAATGAATAAAAAATAATGATCATTCCAGACAGAATAAATTAACTAGAAGAAGAAAATAGGGAACACTGTGGGAACATAAAACTGTGGGTGAATTATTATAGTGGCAAATATGCACAAAGAAAATGACTTTTCAGATGGGCCTTCTTAAATAGCAATTGTGGAGCATCATTTAGTCATTCTGACCACTAAAGTAACATGATCAATTACTGTGAAATAAGTGTGACAAAAGAGGTTAGAGAGGAAAGAACCTGGAGAAAAGGGGATGAAATGACATCGTTTGAAACAAAATAAAAGTTTACAGGCATTCCTATGGCAGTGGAAACAACAACAACAACAATGAATCTATGAACACACCCTGTGAATGCGTGAATTGCCAAGATTTGACAAATAACTAGATAGAGGGAATGCCTGAGCAGAAAAGACCAAGGGTAATTCTCTCGATCTCTAGCCTTGTTGAAAAGAAGGATGAGGGTGAAGCTGTGAATGAGAGAAGGCAGAGAGTAAGGATCAGAATATCTTCGATGAGAGTACTCTGCATTAAGAGTGGGTGCCTATGGACTATTGATGAAAGTGAAAATTGAGTGTAGAGCTCAGAAAATATTGCAAGCCTAGAGATTCTGTAGTTTATGGAACTGAGGGATAATGAAGTCAAGGTTAGGAAATTAATTCCAGTGAAGCACGTGTATCCTGAGACATGGAATTTCAAGTGGCAATTTAGGTAGAGCTAAAACTGCCAGGAAAGATGTGGTATGCTATACTGTTAAGTACACTAAACACCAATTTCCAGAAAAAGGACAGAAAAGTTACATAAAAACAAAAACGTTCAAATAGGGGTAAGAGATGAGAAGAAACTACTGAATTAGCAATTCCTGGGAGCTCAGTGTTCCTCAGAGTAGGCGGTTTTATAGGAATGCAGGGAACAGAAATGAGGGCACAGTGAATAAAAAGGTGAAGAGCATCACTGGTGGTTTAGTCACGCGCACATGGAGAGAGAGAGAGAGAGAGAGAGAGAGAGAGAGAGAGAGATGGCCTGGTAGGAGAGGAGAGAGAGATAGGGGAGGAGGGGAGAGAGGAAGAGACAGGGGAATTGAGGAGAGAAAGACAGAGACAGAGGGGAGAGAGGAGAGAAGACACAGACAGAGTCAGAGACAGACAGACAGACAGATGGAAGGAGTGAAAAGAGGGAAAGACAGAGATAGAAAGACAGAAAGGGAAGGAGAGGAAAGGGAGCAAAACAGAGGGGAAAGATAGAAGAGAGGACAGAGAGAATGACCAGGAGGAGGAAGAGAAGAGGTGGAGGAGGGCTTTACCTGTTTACACAAGAAAGTAAGAAGACAATAATGAGGGAAGCTTACAGAAACTGAAAAGAAGATATGAACAGTGAGTAAGCTCCAAAAGGTGACAGGAGTGGGATGGATAGCAGAGATAATTTTTTTATTTCTTATGGTCCAAACAGCATTAAGACCTCAAGTATAACCAACTCTGTAGTAATCATACCCTGGGCTCCATTGCTAGGATATACCACCTTGACAGTTGTTTCTCTGATCACACACCCATTTCAATATAAATGTGGGAGCAGTTATTTAATATAACATAAAGTGAAACTTGAACCTGTAAACTAGTCAGGGGACTAAAGTAGCAACTGACCGTGAACACTCATAGAATATAAACAATATTAGACAAAAGCAGTCAGAGGATTGGGGAAATAGTGGCATTGTTAAATTGTTTGCTATCTCAAGCATGAGGACCTGAGTGTGAATTCAAGGCACTAATGTAATAAGCTGGGGGTGGTAGCATCTGTGCCTATAATCTTAGCACCGGGATAGCAGAGATTGGCACAGCCCTGGAGCTTGTTAAATCAGTGACTTTCAGGTTTAGTCAGAGACACTCCCTCAAAAATTAAAGTGGAGAACAATAAAGAAAGCATTGGCCTGGCATATATCTGGTCTCCATGCACAGGCACATGTGTGTATGCCTTGAATGTGTGTGCATACACACAAACATACACACATATGTAAAGCACCTAAAAAGAGAGAAGGGGGCATTCTTTTCAGAGACTAGGATGGTAATAGAAGAGACACAGGCTAGTGTAGCATCTTCCTTTCCTGGCTCCTTTGTGACCATTCTAGCTTTCCTTAGTCATTTTGCTCTCAAATAAAGATAATAAATACATAGCCAGCCAGTAGCTTCTTGCTAGTACCCAAGACAGAATTTGTGTCTGCTTCCTTAAAATCACCGCCCGTGTAAACTCAATGCATAAAGAATCACCTCTCTTCTAACACCTGTCCCAGAAGTACCCATGGGCCTGCAATACTCTTCCATACTTCAGTTTTAATATAAAACTTAAGTATGTGTGGTCTTTGTAAGTCTGAGTTGTGTTATTCAATGGGATATAGAAATAAGTTCTTTTAAAAATGGGTGTTAGGAGTAGGTTTTGAGCATATTGAAAGCTACAGCTATTAGCTCCCCAAATGTTATATTTTGTTGGTTTACTCTGTTATGAAGCTATAATCTCCAATGTATTTTACAACCCTAATAGTTTCTTCTATGGGGTTATATGCAAGTCTTAAATAAAAGTTTTAGATGGGTCAGGTGTCTAAGTTCCTCTCCTCACACTCCTAAAATAGAGCACTCACAATGTTGAATTAAAGCATTAAATAAAAAGAATTACCATCCAATAGGATGCTTAGGGAGATTAGGTCAGTTGGTAAAATGCTCACATGCAAGCATGAGGACCTGAGTTCAGTTCCCAGAAGACACTTTTTTAAAAAAGGCTAGAGCAAAGACATGTGCTTGTAATACCCACACTGGAACGGGGGCTGGGAAAAAAGAATTCCTGAGATTCATTTATCAGAAAGCTCCAGGGAAGCAAGAGGCCCTGTCTCAATAAACAAGCTGAATGACTCCTGAAGAATGATTGCCAAGGCTGTCCACTGACCATCACATACATGTATACACACATGCATATACACCTGTACACATACACGTACCCACAGAGATAAACTGATTAATTAATTAATTAAGGTTCTTCTAGGACTTACAAACCAAACCAAATGACATGGACCTTTGCTGGCAAAACATTACTGTGGGCCTTTGAGAAGTTTGTCATTAACCTGGACTCTGCACAGTAGGCCACTTAAGAGTCGAAAGATGCCGGGCGGTGGTGGCACACGCCTTTAACCCCAGCACTCAGGAGGCAGAAGCAGGCGGATCTCTGTGAGTTCAAGACCAGCCTGGTCTACAAGAGCTAGTTATAGGACAGCCTCCAAAGTCACAGCAAAACCCTGTCCCCGAAAACCAAAAAAAAAAAAAAAAGAGTTGAAAGATAACTTACTGAAGGGCATCTCATTGCAGGTTTTGGAAGTTGTTGATAAACTCGGTGATTTGCTGAATGTGAAATATTTCCCATTCAAGAAGTCAGGACACTCTGCACCTGCACTCTACAATGAGAAGAGTTTTGACAACGAAGCAAGCTTTGATGAGATGAATGTGCAACCTGAAGCATAAGTTTCCCAGCTCTGAACAGAACATGAAGGCTGCCAGAAGACTTCCTTCCCCCTTCATCTCACAAGTAATAGAACTGTATTTTACCCCTTCCTAGGGACAATTTTACTTTCTAAACCAGCTTAATTGAGTGAGGGAAATAGTCATTTCTTTAATGTCTCTAACCCACTGCTACAAAATCAAAAATATATAATTCTATATATACATTTCCCTCTCCTTTGCTGGAACTACACAAATGAATACTTTTCTTAGAATATTTTTAATGGCAAGGAGCCCGTATTCTGGCTGCTACTCTCCAGCTTTTGAGTCAGACCTTTTCAAGGGCTCCAACTAAATGAAAGGATTTTGATTTTTAACTGGGTAATCTTACTGTGTGTTCAAGTATGCCATATACACACATGAGAAAGAGTGACAGAAAGGAGCTGAGTCTCTTGTTCAACCCATAACAGTACTAGGAACAGTTCATAGATATTGTGGGAAGTTCCAGGAAGGACAGAGGGCAATGTTGCTTCTACTGTTTGCCACATCTTGACTTTATCCAAGGACAGGAATCAAAAGACACAGTTAATGCTTGGATGATAATGTAAACCTGGCCAGTAGTTACCAGAGCCAACTTTGAAGTGAACCTTCTTTTTCCTCTTGGTGCTCTCCTACAATTTTGTTGTTAAGTTTTGAGGACTGGAAAGTTCATGGCTCTTGTTTTCTAAAAAGGAAGAAGTCACTTTTGGACCTAGGCTAACACTGTAAAATTGAAACAACCCAAATTATGCTGGTGCCTTGCAGAGTGAGTCTAGCATGTTCAGCCTTAATAACTTCCTATTTTTTTTATTGAATTCTGAGTACATAGTGAAACTCAATTTCCTTTAAAAATTCACTATCACCACACATTGCCAAATTACACTTGAAGAATGGACTGGTTCAACAAAATATTTAAAAGTGTACTTTTTCTCTGTCTCTTTCAAGGCTATGTATCTATAGATACATGCCCAGTAAATAATATCCTCCATGACATGTCCACGCAGATTTCATGAGAAATGGTATTGCACACTTTTGTGCACTATGATTCATCTCCCTCATACACACAAAACGACACAGGAATCTCTGAAAAATTAGTCCTCTGCTAATTGGTTCTAGTTGGTATGGAAAAAGCCAGTGGAAAACCTTATCTTTAACAAGTTCCCAGATGGTGCCCAGACTTGGAAACTCCAAAGAGCAGTGGTGACCTTTTAGCCAAGCTTCTGTAACAGTTCGAATGAGTTACAGAACATTCCACTCCATCAAATGACACTGTAAACAAATCACTTCAAAAGAACTTTGGCTCTGTGTGACACAGATGGGCCCAAGCTTTCTTGCTGTGCACAGAGACAGAAATTCAACCTGAAGCACCAATACTGGATGGGGCAACACTGATACTCAAAAAGTGTTCCAAAAGACAGTGATACTCATGCATAGCTTTAAAAAGAAGTATATCCCCCTGGTGGATTATATGTTTTTCTAGTTGATCTCTTGGTGCTGGAGAGATGGCTTAGAAGGTGACAGAACTTATTGCTATTCGAGAGAGAACCTGAGTTCAGTTCCCAGCACCCAGGTTGGGTTGTTCACAACCACCTATAACTCCAGCTCTGGGGCATCTGATGCCTTTGGCTTCTGTGGATACCAGAACTCAACATGAATGTATCCACATGCAGAACCACACACATACACATAGTTAAAATATAATAAAAATAAATTGTTTTAAAAAGTGGTTCCCAGTTATAAAATGCCTCATAAGTGGTGAAAAGCTAAATGAATGTTGTGGAGAAGGTGGAAAATAAATGGCTATTATGTGCACAGCTGCCCAGTGGAAGACTGACCTGATAACTAGATTCCAACCCTTCCCAGTGAACTGATGCAGCACTACTTCTGCAGAAAAAACACATATTATATAGATGCATAAAGCAAGGAAGATATGTAGGTCTTTCCTTTTTAATATGTGTGTTCAATGAAGATGTTCTTAATAAATCATCTAACCAAAATGCAGAATACTTGGGAGTTCAAAACAGGAAAAAGGCAGTAAAGAGGGCAGAGAGAGATCTATGCTTGCAACCTAAAAGTAAGCATGCCCCTTCTTCTCTAGTTCCATCTGTTATCATCACCTACAGTGTCACACTTGCCTTAAGATTTTAAACCACCAGAGATACAGATGTCTTCCTGAGTAAGAATGTTCATGCTTACTACTGGCATGGAGGAACTTGTGTTCAGTTCATCATGGAGAAGAAATTACTTTCCTGCCCAGAATGCAGAGCAATTGAGAAGGTTCTTCCCTTTTCATTACGATCTGAGGGTCATGGGGCAACTTGTTGTCTTCCCATACACCTATGAAAAGACTTACTTTTGTCAGAGTCTACAATGATACACACTTAGGAAAAGAACTGTAATTCCAGTGGAATGCTTCCTGAGTTAGGAGAGACCCTGGCTTCACTGAGTATCAATATGAGAATATATCATACAGAAAGTCATGAATTATAAGTAATATTGATTTTTACAAGGAAAGATGTCCTCTAGGTTAGTTAAAACTGATTTAATTAAGTAGTAACTACTGCATTTTATTCATCAGAGTTTGGGTCTGTTGGGATCAAGGACTCTCTGAATTATAGTGTTTTACATCCCAATCACCTTCTTTGTCTGTACCCATACACACACACACACACACACGCATATATATGTATAGACACTTTTGCTGGTTTTGAAATGGAAGGAGAGAATCAACAGATAGATGAATGTCTGACTGAATGACTGAAAGATGGATTTACTAGAAACCAGACGCTGTATAAACAGAAGCTGAAGGTTTCAGACTGATATTGTAAGGAAGACAATTTTGTGTAATGAAGGAATGACAATCTTATCATGGTATGACCGTGTCATGGATACTTAGCCCTACTGCCCTTTGACATGATTTGATTTGACAGAGACCACAGGCTTCAGAATTTACTAGGAAGCTTGATAACATGACAAACCATGTGGTTCACACAATACCACCACTGAATCACAGTGGTTCCCAGGACACTATGTTTTAACAAGCCTTCCAAGGTAACTCCAACATATGCTGGAAATTGTAAACCATTATTAGAGCTTTTGGTAGACCAGCTGACTGCTACAACATAGCATAGAACTTTTCTGATTCTTTGTTGATGTCTAAGGGTGTTTGTACTAGTTAACATGCTTCTCCTTTCCCCCTCAATGGGCCATTTTCTAAGGAATGTCTGTGTCTATTAAAGAAAGGCCCAACATTGAAAAGGTCTTCACAAGATACCCTTTTTTCCTTTATATTCGATTCCTTCTTTTACTATTCTCCTCCTCAACCTTTGACTATTACAACTCTGCAGTAGAGTGTTATTCTTGCCAGCTCCTCGTACATCCAATGCTCCTCTACATCATCTTTCACAAGTGGCAGATATATAAAATTCTAACTCTTATTTTAAAATCTATGTTCTGAATAATTAAGTGATCTTAAATACATACTTTGATATATAACAATGATAATTATGAAGATAGTAACAATGTATTTGTATTCTATTGTCTTCCAACACCATAGCCAGCTAGGTAGTGTTTTGTAAATCAGGAGGAGAGTATTTTCCTGCTTTGGGGAGAAAGCTTATCGGTAATGTGTTTCCCATGCAAGCATGAATATCTAGCTAAAGTCAACCCCAGCACTTATGTAAAAAGCCAAGCATGGTGACGTAAGCTTGTAATCATAACCCTGGGAAGGCAGAAATAGGTAGACTCCTGGAATTTGCTAGTCAACCTACATGGCCTTATCGAGTAGCTCCCAGTCTTAATGAGAGACTCTCTCTTTAAAAATAAAGTGGATGTCTCCTAAGGAACAGCACTCAAGGTTGACCTTACACACACACACACACACACACACACACACACACACACACACACACACGAGGAGAATAATTTCTAAACTATTTCTTAGTATATTATTTTGTGGCATTGTGAAATACAGTATATAAGGTGTGAATCTGTTTATGTTTCACTGAAATGTTTGAGATGACCAGTTTCTCTTCATCCCATCTGTAAAATGTTACTTTAATAAACAAATCACTAAAATCAACACTGCAAAATTCATAAATGGTTTTGTGTTGATGTCATTTAAGTAAGTCTTGGGGGAAAAGATAGGTAGAAAATTGCATTTAGGAATTTCAGTAAAGGCTATCGGTGGAGGTAGTTGTAGCTAGAGAGGCATATACTTTCATGAGAACCAACTGTGCATAGATCCTTCCATATCCTTCAGTGACATCAAAATGATAACTTGAAATTGCCCACAGGGGGAACCTGACACCAGAGAAATGAGCAAATGCTACAAATCATGGATCTGGAGGTCTGGCTTTTCAAATTTTAGCAGCATACCACTAAAATAAGGCACAATGGTACAATTAATGTATAATAGTGTAATCATTATATATTCATGGAGAACTGAGTAATTAGATTATCCTTTAGTGCTAAAACTGAAGAACAAAGCTAGTCTCCAATCAACCAACCAAAGCTCCCGGGAAGTGGTGTAGGGCAAGGCATTAGCACAGGCAAGATGATTCCTATGACCTATCATTTTAGATTCATTCTAAGATAGCCACATAAATTTATAATGGAAAAAATAAACTTAGAGTAGAATAGGATATCATTATGAGTCCAATACACCTATGATCATGGTCTAAGGATTGTCACTTCGTAGCCAGACTTTTCATCCTCCCCTTCATTCTCCATCTCATTAGATTACTTTAAAATGAACCCTGGAAATCATTTCATTTCATGACTAAGTATTTCCTGGAGTCATTTGAAAAGGCAATGATGTCTTAATTTGTTCCTCCTTTCAATCTCATTAAAATACAAGTCTTTGGAATAACATCAGCATTAAAATGATTCAAACATGAACCCTTCCCATCTCTATTTCCTTAGATAGTTGTGAATTCTGTGGTTCAAAACTAAGAATACATTCTGAAATAGTTATATGATGTCCTAAGAGCTAATAAGCCAATTATCTTCAGGCACTATGCTAAGCACTCCTATACACACAGTCTCCTGGAAATTGTATAAGATTACAGAGATTTCTTGGAAGACAACAGTATTCAGTATTCATTAACAGAGCAGAGAGAGGAGTTCTGAGATTCTGGCATTGCTTTCTTAGGCACGTGTCCTCATCCTTACAAAAGCAACTTTCTTTAGGGGTTATCCAGTTAATCTTTGCATATTAACAAAAGTAGCTCAATCAAAAATAAGAGAACAAGTCAAATTGGTCCACTTGTTGGAAAAGGTTGATGCCTATGCCAGGTTGGGATTGAGGTAGGGCTTGTGATTCTAGTTCTCCTTGCAGCCTTTGGTCCAAATGAGGAGCTGAAAGCCAAAATTTTCAAGTCAACTGCACCAAAACCTTATCATAGAAATAAATCAGTAAAATACCTAACAGAAGGTCAGAATAGATGGAAAAGAGGATTTTTTTTCTACAGCATGAAACAGTACTGCCTTTTATTCAGGCCAGATGCTAATTTTTATATCAAAAATATTGATTGAAGGGACTAGTGATTTTGGCTTTCACCCAAGTTTATTCAGGATCTTTCTTAATTAGGTTTGGGTCGGCTGCAATGCCCATGGCCAAGGGTAAGTCTGGCTCCAATCACCACGTTGTGCTCTCTACTTCATCACGGGCCAAGGACTAAGGCAAGGAAATTGCAGCTTCTTTGTTTCTCCAGCCCAAAAGTTTGTTTTTTTCCAGATTTGAAGCATGCATGGAGAAAATTTGTAAGGAAGACCAAAAGAAGCAGAGTGGCGCTGGCTTAGCGGTGGTGAGATCAGTCTACCCTGCCCCTTGCCTGTGATCCCAAGTGTGAATAAAGCTCTCTAGATGAAAACTAGTGGGTAGCAATGTGAGGTCACATGAAAGATCTTGGCATCCTATAAATGAAAAGTTTTCAATAAACTTAACTAGTCATCCAGCCACTGAGGTTTTATTTTTAAGGATAAAGTAACTGCTTGTATGGCAATACATGATTTCTCTATAACATGTCTATTTTGTAAATAATTGCAGTTGTCATGTTTCAGTTTTTATAGTATCAATACCAATTTCACATAATTTATACATCTTTTTAAAATGTCACACACATAAATTACAGACATCTATAACAAAGTGAATTTTCTCCTAAGTGTAAAGTAGTATGTTGGTATTTTAAAACACACACACACACACATATATGTATATATATATATACTCAATTCCTCTAGAAAATTCTGAAAATATAGCTATGAAGAATTTTTAACTAGAAATAAAGTTTTTAAGTATATCTTCAAAATAAAAACTTGCAAAAGCTTTTATTAACAAGACTATTTTAAGTAGGACCAGTTAAATATTAGATGTTTCCTATACAAATGATTCCATAACTCTGACATATATCAGTCATCCATACATTACACAGAAAAAGTAAAATCTTTTATTGAAGTGGGTCTATATGTAGTAAGATGAAAACTTTTTGAAAATTAAACTGAATTTTTATTGCATGTTTGCTTTATAAGTGCCAAGCAGAAAGGCAACATGAATGATTAACTTGCATTGATCAATACAATCCTTCATTATACGGATAGAAGTTCGGGGATTTTCAAGTATTAGAGGAAAATTAGCAACAGCCAAATGAGTAGCCAGGGTGAAAGGGAAAAGTGTTCACTGGCAGAAACAGACAGTTTCAAGAGAAGAGAGCTTTTGAGATGTTTGGCATATGAAACATGAAGGTTAATTTCATCAAGATACATCCATAAGAATAGGCTGTCTGAAAGGAAACAGTTGAGAAAAACTAGAAATGACCTAGTATTTAAATGTTTGATGAATATAAATCAATAGAAAACAAAGAAGAGATATATTTAAATACCCCTTACACTATAAAACAAAGGACATACAGAAGGATGAAATAAGATATAAATAAAGCAGGCTATCATGAGGAAGGCCAACACCCAACAGATAAGTTAAAATGGATGAGTGGGAAGCATGGAACACAGAAAAAATCAAATAAATAATTAAAAAAAACATTTCCCTGGTGCTTAAACAAAATAAAAAGAAACAGACTAGTAAGTGCTAAGATGAAGACTAAAAGGTTTTCACATAAATATGTCTTCAGGAATTGTACACCACCAAGTATAAACAGAAGGATTTCAATGTTTATAGCTAGAGAAACAACAAAATAATCACATATAAAAAGGTGGAAGCAATGAATTTTACTATTGAACGTTACAAACATGCCCTTCAGACAGTTCATACCAACATTCTCATCCCATCTCTTCAATGTGCACCAATGCTACTAACCACCTACAATCATTACTGACCTGTTATGGAAAAGTGGCTCTCATGAATGTCTGGTGGCCTTTTAGCAAGGATAACCCTTTTTCATATGGCACTGCCTGCTTGTCTTTTGCATTTTTCCTGTTGTACCTCACACATTTTGTATTAAAGAAAATCTGATGGTAGAAGCAATGTCTGAAGAAGAAATTTGAAGAAGAAGCAATTATCTTCAGGACTTAGAAACAGGTTCCAACCTAAAATTCTTCATGCAGAAATATCTATCTAATAAAAGGAGAGGAAAACAGCACAATAGTGTGTGTGTGTGTGTGTGTGTGTGTGTGTGCATGTTTGTATTCCAAGGAAATTCTCTAAGATGATTCCACAACTACATCCAGATTTTTATTTATTTTTTTCATGTAAACAAGGTCTCATTAAGCTGCCCAAGGTAGCCTGAAATTTACTATGTAAAGCCAGGATGACCTTGAACTTGTTTTCCTCCTGCCTCAACTTTCTGAATTGAAATTACTGACCTGTAACATCATGCCTAGGTTAAAATAGGGACTTATTAACATAAGGTATTTAAAGTTTATGACTTTCTTTTTTTAAAAAAATCACTTGCAAATAATACAATAAACACTTCCAAGCCAAAGGAAGGTACCATAGTCAGTGGAGAGTGAAATTCACAACTGGGCAATGAAAAAGGTCCCTCAGAATAGTAAAGTTAATCCAACTGTGATAACAAAAAATAAGGATGGACTGTATTTTGCTCCAAATAGAAGTTTAATTTGGTATCTCAGGTTGTCAGTCTTCATAGTGTTTCAGGTCCATGTAATTTCCGGTCTGTGGCCCCACCAGCCCTGGTGATTTTTTCCTAGTGTGCATGAAAATGGAAGAGACAACTGATTAGCCCTGCCTGATGGCTGACTTAACTCTGACACTAGACATATTGAGAGGGAGTAGACCAGTCCTGATTCTGTAATCCAAAAGATGTCTAGAGATCTTGAAGAAAAAGAATTGCTCTGATACCTCAGTACCTAGAGACCCAGCAATGTTTTTCAGTGCTACTGCGTTACCCACTTCGTTTACTTGTGTGAAACATGAAAACCTATGAGCTCCCTGCATCCTTCATAGAAGCCACACCCAGTCTATTACCCACAGTTGTTCACCTGGAAGTTCATCCCATTTTTCCTTCTCCTTACCCTTGGATACATCCATTGAGTTCCACAGGGATGCTATGCTTAGTTCTGGCCACAGTGTCCAAGATGGTTCTCATATGTTCCTGCTCACAACTAAGTCATCTTTAGAGAAGCTTATCTGGAAAGGAGGAGGGGGCACTGCATCCGTGGTGTCCATCTGCTGTCCTGGCCACCAGAACCATGAGCCTACTAAGTCTGGCCCATATGCTCCTTGGGATATGAAAAGAGAGGTGATAGGCTTCTCACCTCTGTGATCTTCTCCCTGCTTCTCAAATTGTCACACCTCACTTCAGGACTCTCCTGGGTTTCATTAGTTATGGGGAAAGCAAGCCAGAGGTTTGTTTAGGATTGACTCTTTTAAATTTCACTTTCACGGGGTTAATAGCCTAGAGTCAGCTGTCAATGAAATGCTAGAAAAGAGAAACCATAGTCTACTTTATGGCTTGTTTACCCATCTGCATCTTCCCTGCACACATTCCTATAGTCCCCTGCTTCTGGGTTATGACCTTTCAGAGTTTTGCCACTGGTTCAAAGCTACTCGTCAGTGACAGTTTAAGGGCTAGGAGAAGTAGACACTAAAAAATAACAGCAAGCACA